GCCTGTGGAGTAGGGGGAGTTCATGTACCCCTTTTTTCCCCAGAGGGGCTGGACTCAGGTTAGTTTGGGGGTGGGGGCTCCTGCACTTTGCCACAGGCATGGAGAGGGTTCTCTCCTCACCCCCTCTGCCCTCCCAACTTGGGTTGTACTTTCTAAGAAGGTGATTTTCCCCTCCCCTCATCCCCATCCCCAGAACAAAACATGTTGATCATGTGCAATATTTCTTACTGTGCCGAGAAGCCGCAATGACCGAGATTAAAGCTGTTTAACACACCTGTGTAGCTGTCCGTTCTAAAGGGAGAAGGGATGTTGGTTATACCAGTTGGTTCCCCGGATGGCCATGGAGTTACATACTGCTCCCCCAACCCAAGATGAGGGAAGGAATTCCAGGACCATCCTCTCCCTACCGCAGAAGGATATGGTCAGCAGTCATGATCCTTTCTCAGCCATCCAACCTGCGTGGGCTGGGCGAGGGCCTGAGATGTGGTGCTGCAAGAAGGGCAGTTCATCTTTGACAGTCCAGTTGGACCTGATAGGTCTGAGCCAGAGGTGGCAGTGGGTGGGGGAGGCCAGTTGGCCATGAGAACTGCGCTGTCCTCGGTGACTCTTGCTGCCCCCACGTGGCCTGAGCTGGCACTGCAGCCAGGCCAGAGGAAGCTCTCCTGCTTTCTGCCTGTCTATCACAGCCTGTGGACATGCTCTTGGGAGAACGATAACCATACCCTGTGTAGAGGGATGACTGCTGGGGGTGGGAAGGTCAGGAAGCTTCCACAAGAAGTCACATCTAAGCCAGGACCAGAATACCGTCAAGTTCCAGCCAGGGGAAAGAGCATGTGCAGACAGGAGGGCAGATTTGGGTGGGCTTTGACTATTGAATCACCCAGAATTCTTGCTTGACCTTGATCCTGTAGGGTTGTGTTGGCAAACTAGTTTCACCTAGTGTTCTACTCATTGGTACTGCCTGCCTGCAGCACTACTGTGATAGTAGAAATCTGACTGTTGATGGATTGGTGAGGCCTGCCTTGGACATAGCTGCAGGGTCACAGACATAAGCGTTGAGGTTGAGGTACCCAGACAGGCTTGACCATAGAGCAGAAAATTGGAGACTGAAGAATGAAAATTTAATGTTGCAGGAAGGCAGATGCTTAGGGTGTGGGCTCTGGCAAGGGGACACCACCCTGGCCCTGGTCTTGGGCCAGCAGACGCTGAAGCAGGGAGTGCAGGGCCCGGCAAACAGGTGTGTAGCCCAGGCGGCTCAGATGCAGGTAATCATACATGTCATGGTGGCTTATGGTGCCATCTGAGTGCACAAAGCCAGGGTCTGCATCCAGGAAGTGGGCCCGAGGGTTGCCAGCCAATGCTGCCCGTACCAGCTCATTCACCCGTCGGTTTTTCTCACGAAGTGGGTTGGGGTGCTGGCCCCGAGGAAGCAGGCCCTGGAGAAGGTACCAAGCATTGTAAGGAGGCTGCCTACCAGCATCTGGGTATCCTGTTCTCTGTGCCAAACTGTTTTCCACCCCCCAGCTGTAGAATACACCAGGGATGAAAAACCGGGGTTTAGAAACGTACTTCCTGAAACCAGGTCTGAGATCTCATTCAGCAAGAACCTTCTAGAAGTGATGAAGTCTAGATTTGCCCTGAGAACGCCTGACAACTTTTGGCTATTTAAGTATTTTGAGTTTTTCCCTTGGGCAAAATGGGCTAATTAGTCCCTAAATGTGTCCTTTTAACCACAGCCACTCTGATGGGTGTAGCAAGTGCCGACGTGAGATTCTGCCTGAAGGCCACTGCTCCGTGCCAAGATGCTCAGAATTGTGGAGCTGTGGCTACACCTCAAAGGGTCCCAGACCACTGCCTTTCTTCCTCCCCCACCATCCCACTCTCTCACCAGCACGACGACCCGGGCCTGGGGCTGCCGCTCATTCACCAGTTGCACAATGGCCTTGATGCCTCCAGTCACCTGCTCTGCAGTGTGCCCGTGGTTGTTGGTACCCACCCAGACCACCACAATCTGTGGAAAGTGACGCATGAAGCAGTGGTGAGGCAGCAGGCTAACGGTGCTCTAGCTGCCCACCCAAGCCCTGCTCACCTTGGGCCGTATGTGTTCCAGCTCCCCATTCTCCAGACGCCACAGCACGTGCTGCGTGTTGTCACCGCCAATGCCAAAGTTAAGTGCGTGCAGAGGCGAAAAGAGCTCCCGCCAGATCTGTGGGCAAGAAGTGCCGTGGGCACAGGGGCATCGTCAGCATAGACCACCACCTCTGTCCAAGTGTTGACCAAATGTCATCATGGAAAGACCCTTGCTTTACGGAAGCAGTCTGGTTAAATCTCACCTTGAGCAAACCCCAATATGGTCAAACCTAACTTTATGCAAACCCATTATAATCTCACTTTCACGAAAACCCATAGAAGCAAGACTCCCTTTATGGAAACCCATTCTGCTTGAGCCATGCATCGAACCAACAATATTCCAGTTGAACCTCACTTTGAGGGAATCCATGGTTTAACCTCACTTTGTGGAAAGATACCATAATTGAGCCTCCCTAGTGGAGAGCTATTACAGTAACCTCCACTTTGTGGAAACAGCTATAGCCTTGCGGAAATCCATTAAGGCTGTGCACTACTAGTTTAAGCAAACAAAGAGTCTCATCTTAGGCAATCTTACAAAAAAGCTTCATTTAAAGCCTCACAATACACAAACCCAATGTGACAAAGCCAGGACACACACTTCCTTCTCAGCAGAATGTGGCACCTTACACTGAGACTCTGAGTGCCCTACGGCTACCTGAGTTTATTTCGCGTACGCCATACACCGCCTGGCCTGAGATCCGGTCCAGGTGTGTCAGTGAGGGCACAGGCCTGGGTGGGGCAGAAGGAGGGGGACTGGTCTCACCTCGCACTGGTGCATTAGCTGGACCAAGGAGTCCCCGATGAAGACGACTTCGGGTTCCTTATCTTTGCTGTCGGCTACGAACCGATGGTGCTTTGGGGACGTAAAGGGGGAGTCAATGGCACGCGCGCTGCTGGGCCTGACCTGCCCCGCTTCCTTAGGCAGCACCACCCCAGCTGCCCTCAGTTTCCTAATCACGGAGTGAGAGTGGCACCCACTCCGCCCCCCGTCCCCGCCCCGGACTCCAGAGTTTTGCGGGAGGGGTCGCTCACCAGGGACATCCAGCGCCCGTCTCCCTGCACGTCCTGCACCGGCGTCGGTTTGCTGGCTGGGTTCTCCTCTCCGCTCATCTTGGCGCCGCAGCTCCTGCAGGATGAGCGAGCACAGTGGGCCCAAGAGTGTTTCCGGAGGAGGTGGCGCCGCCACGCCCACCCTCAGGCAACAATGGACGGTCCCGAAGCCTGCAATCCAGCCGAGGGTGACGGCCGATACCGGGCGCCGCCTCCTCTCCTGGGGCGGAAACCTTCACTTAGGAGGAGGGGAGGTGGAATTGGGAAGCCGTGCTTCCCCTACGGCGGCCGCGCAGTGGGCTCGCCCGGCGCTTCCTGCCCGGGCCGCTCACTCTCCGGCCGCGGCTGCAGCTAGCGCATCCCGGCACCTGGGGTATGGGGGAGGCGAGACCGTCCAGTACCCGTGGAGGGGAGGAGGAAGAAACCACCCTACCGGCGTCACGGGGAGGAGCGAACTACCTGAAAGGCCAAGAGAAGACGGGGAAAATTAAGCGGGGGAAGAAACCATTTGCTATAGGGCGAGTAAAGTGCGGAAGGGGACCACCTGCGCGCCCGCGCCTGTGTGTGTGCGCGCGCGCGCGCGCGCCATTCACGTGGTGGGGGGAGGGGAATGAGTGGACGGGTCCATTTTTGGATCCCTTGAGGGGGTGGCTCATACGTACCTGGCTAGGAGGGGACGCTCCCATTTTCTTTTGACGTGGGGGAGAGAAAAGGAAGATGGCAAAATGTGAAAATTAGAGGCTCAACTGTAAGGAGACACCATAAGACAGTGCCAGGACTTTAGTGAGCCTATCTGCTCATGGGCCTCCCCTCCTCAAAACCACCAGTTTTTATGGCATAAAATCTAAACTACATGTCTGCATTACAGATATATCACTGACCCTGCAAAGAGGGTAGTAGAAGATACAGAAAGACAAAGGAAATTAGAGATGCTGCAAGGCCCAAGTCCAGCCTGGCGCCCCTCCCGCACGGCTCATCTTACAGATCTGTGGCATCTGCTTCCTTCTCTAAACCTATGGCTGTCCAACAACGTCAGTTGGTTGTTTCTGCGCTCTGAAACATGCACAACCAAGATCACCTAAGGTCTCTGCCCCAAATTAATCTCAGACTTCAGATCTTCCCAGAACTCCCTGTTCTGGGGGACCAGGTGGGGGTCCCACACCCCCCTAACGTCCTGATTATATTCCTGTAGCTCCTCTCCCAGGTGGGATCTTCCTACCTATTTATTCCTTCTAGGTAGGCTGATACTAAGATTTAGAGATCAATCTTATTTACTGTGTTTATATTTTGCTACAATTCACTTGCCTGGAACAGGACCTGAGTCATAGTACCAAGTACTATGGCTGTTCACAAGTTCACAAGTACTTCCTGAATGAATTTTAAATGAATGGGTCAGATCCTGGTCTTGTCCTACCATGTTGGGGGAGGCAGATCCAGACACAGAGCTGCAGGAAGAATCAAAGTTGTGATTAAGGAAGGTACAGGGGACTTCTGCGGGAGGAGGAAGAGAAGGACTCTGAGGGTGAAAGGTTTCCTAGAAGTAGTATCTGAGGAGTTAGGCTTTGAAAGTTTACACAGGTAATATAGCTTACTAGGGTATGGGGAATACCCCGGCATAGCTTGATTCGAAAGTCTGAGGGGACAAGTGAGAAACAAAGCTTTGAGGCACCCATTCACCAAGCGCTGTTTCAAATTAGATGTTGGTTCATTTCATATTTACAGCAATTGTAAGAAGGAGCTAACAACTTCATTTTACAGATTAGGAAGACTGAAGCTCTGAGCAGTTACATACTTTTCCTGGGTCACAGAGCTCAAATGTGCTAATCTGGGCATTTGAACCTGGGTAGTCTAGTTCTGGATCCTAGCTTTGAATGACAACACTGTACTGATTCTCTAGGGATAAAGTCTGTGACTGTGTGGAGACTGGCTGCTTATAGAGGCTACCGTGGCCCTTCTCTCCCTTCGCTTCGTCTCATCTCATGCTGCTGAGAGAAAGTCCGCCAGTAGATGTCTAAACCAATCAGCATTGAGGAAGGGGGCGGGCCTAATGGACCTCACAGCCAATTGGTGAAAGGGAGGTACTTAAGGACAAATGAAAGAGGTTTCCGAAAGTGAGGCTGGGGAGGGGAGGAGGGACTATAACCGGCACTCTGGGCCGCTGGCACGTGCCCCTGGGTCTGCTCTTCTCCAGAGCAGGAAAAACGAAGGGTGTGGGAGGGGCACGCGCATGCGCGGGCGCATGAGACCCGGAAGAGTATCGGGCGCGACAAAAGCTGGGGTCACCACGGAAAAGAAGCCATTGTACCCCACAGCCACGTGGAGTAGGCAGAGGGCGGGATTCGTTGGGGCAGCAGAAGGTGAGGTGCCCCTCCCCCAACCTGCCCCCACCAATCGTACCCTCATCCTTACCTCACCTGGCCCAACCTGCCTTGTTTCCTGGACCGTCCTTGACGAGGCCTCAGTCCCTGATAGCTCCTCTGTTGCCCTTTCTGTTCTCCCGAGGTTTTCTCTGTCTCCCCAACTTACATCCTCTTTCCTGCCTTTCTCTCTCTACCATCTCTCCACCTTCTGTATTCTCCAGTATCTCCTCTACCTCTGGATTTCTCCTCTGTTCAAAATCCCTTCTGGTTCACCAGACCCCTCCAATATCATGATCCCTTTCGCATCCCCCATCTTCTCGCTGTTTCCTCACATCCCTGTTCCCTCTAACTCTTTCTCTATCCCTTGACAAATCTTCTCATTCAGTGTGACTCCCTTGACCCTATCCTACCCCTATGACTCTGCCTTTTCCCTGACCTTACACCTGACTAAGCCTTTTCCAGTTGGCTCTCTGCTGATCCCTTTCTTTCACCTTGTCTCTCTAAATAATACTTCCATCTCACCCCAAACCATCTCCTCTTTTCACTACTCACTTTTAGGTCCTTGACTTATCTACATGCTGATGACCACCCTATCTTTATCTTACAGGGTGCCATGGACCCCAGGGGGCCAGCCCCCAAGACTTTCCAGCGGCCTGAGAAACCTGGTCGTGTCCGCCGTCGGAAGACCAGGCGGGAGCGTAATGAGGCTCTGGTGGGCAGTCGGCAGTCATTGGCCCATCAAGATCCTCCTCTGGCCAGTTGGGATCCACATATGTTCCTCCGGAATTCTGTGGCTCCTGCTGCCCCCAAGCTTGTGGTCATAACCCAGGGCCGGCTGAGCCGAGAGCACCGGGGTCTCTTCAGCCATGAGGTGAAATCTCTGGACGTTGCTCGACTGCTTAGCAGTGGGTCCCTGGAGCCAAGGACCCCTGCATTCCCCACTAAGTTCTCCCCAAGCCCAGGCAGGGCCCAAGAACCAGCCCCACAGTCAAGGGGCAAGGAGAACAAGGTGCCTGGAGGCTCGGGCCCAGGCCCACCTAGTCCCCTACAGTTCCCTGACTTGGAGCAGCTGCTGGGAGAGCTGCAATGCCAGCTAATTCTGCCACAGGCCTTCCCCAGGAGAAATCTAGTACAAGAGGCCAGGGATGTCATCGTGAGCACCTTACAGGCCTGCCACGGCTGTGTGCCTGACCTTACCCTGGTGCTCCGGAGTTGCCAGCCACCCTTGCCAGGTGAGCCCACCTCCTGTCCCCTGTACTCCCTTCCCTTTGTCTGCGCTAGTTCATCTGTCCCCTATGCTTCTTTCCTCTATGCCAGGGACCAAGCCTGGGGGCCCTGAGGAACGAAGGATGACACCCTCCTGGATCAACAGCCCTGAGCAGGCCCCAAGGGAGGGGAGGCAGAGGAGGCAAAAGGAGACAAAGGAGCTCAACTTCACCATGCCTCACACCTGCAGCACTCCTACTGTGCACAGGGTGAGCCTGGCACCACCGAAATGTCCCTGGCTACCCCCATTGTCCTCATTGCCTTCACCATCGGAGACGGCCTGGGGCCCCCCAACAGCTTTTGATCTGCTGAAAAGTATTTGGCTGGTAGCCACACCACCCCCTCCCCGGCCCTGGGGGGTTGGCCCACCACAGCTCCTGCCTCAGCCACCATCACCCTTGTTGCCCAGGACCTCTGCCCTGGACTGGAGCCCCAGCCCCCCTGCCCCCCTGCCCAGCCTCTCCTGGGTGGTAGCCCAGAGCAGCCCAGAGGCCTGGTCCTTTCCACCCATGAGACTGTACTGAAGGGGGCTGAGGCTAGGTTGGGGGCAGAAATCCCACATTCTAATCACTTCAATAAAATACCTACTTTGTGGTCCTCTTGATATTTAGTGAATAGCCCAGGAGAGCAGCTTTCCTTAGCTCTGAGTTCTAGGTCCAAAGTGGAGGGGAAGGTACTGTCACTTGTCACCTTCCTAGGGCCCCAGAGGCCAGCAGGTTGGGGAAACCTGGGGCTTCAGTCAGTCTAACACATCCACTCACTGAGGCCAACTATGTGCCCAACTCTGAGCTCTGGTGATGCTGAGGCCCCAGATTGAGTGAGACTTGAGTCTGTGTTCCCAGGGGATGCCCAGTCCAGTGGTGAGCACAGACAGTTCCAGCCCCAGTCGTTGCATCTGAGAGAGACCTGGGATAGACCAAGAAGGGAGTGATGACTGTCCTGCTGATGAGAGAGGTCTTCATAGAGGAGTTGACACAAGACCCTTGTATTTTTTGAGTTTGGTAGCAACTGCTAGTAGAAGAGGAAAAGAACATTTCAGGCAGTGCTAGAAATGTTCTATGGAAGAGCAGGTACAAGGCTTGGAGGAGGGCAAATAGGGGTTGTGGGACCGTTTTCATTCAGCTTGTATCCCGAGGTCATGCTGGGACCTAGGGTGAGTCACATCTGGGCCCTGCTTTTGGGAGGCTTCTGGTCTGGTGGGCACAGAAACTGTGTGTACAGGATCAGGGCAGGAATGGCTGAAGAGGCTTGGATATGGCCCAGAGAATTTTTTCTTTGGCCTACAATATATTTTAAATTTTTGAATCAATTGCTTACTGTTACAAATCAGATGGTTTGCTTGAAAAAAAAAAACCCAACATTTCTAGTTTCTCTCAAAAAAAAAAAAACGAAGAAAGAAAAAGGATCTGGCAGCAGACCTACTATTCCTCCTCAACAACTGCCTTAAGACAAGTAGCAGAGGCCCCTTTTTCATGGGGCTTACAGTGTCTGTTAAAAGTATTTCATGCACTTGTGCTTCCTGCTTGGCCTCTTAACTTAAAAAGTTTTTAAAATTATACATTTAAATTTTTAAAATTTGTATACAATTTTTAAACGTTATTTTCCACTTACAATTATTACAAAATATTGGCTATATTCCTCATGTTGTGTGATACATCCTTGAGCCTGTCTTACACCCAATAGTTTGTACCGCCCACTCCCTCACCTCTTTACTGCCCTCCCCCAACTGGTAACCACTCGTTTGTTCTCTATATCTGTGAGTCTGCTTCTCTTTTTGTTACATTCACTAGTTTGTTGTATTTTTCAGATTCCACATATAAGTGATATCATACAGTATTTATCGTTCTCTGTCTGATTTATTTCGCTTAGCATGATACCCTCCAAGTCTATCCATGTTGCCCCAAATAACAAAATTTCGGTTTTTTCATAGTTGAGTAGTATTCCATTGTATGTGTGTGTGTGTGTATGTGTATACATATATATATTATATATACACATACACATATACACACACCATGTCTTCTTTATCCATTCATCTGATGATGGACACTTAGGTTGTTTCCATGCCTTGAAAATGATTATTTTTGAAGAGCAGCAAATTTTTCTGCAGTAGAGGGAGAGAGATGAAGCTAAAAATGTGTTGGAACCTGATGAGGAAAATGAAGGTGAGAGGCTTGGACTGTACTCTGTAAAGGTTTTCCAGGGCTCCCATTGCCCACTGGGAAACCATAAGGTCAGTACCAGGGTGTAGGGGGCTGGACTGAGAGGTCACACCTCTGTGACTTGGCTGAGGTCTTATGGGGAGGAAGTGGCAATGCTGGGATTTGAACCCAAGCAATTGACTTCAGAGTCTGCTTGTGGGTTTCTCATAATACTACCTCCTCTGCCTCACAGCAACTGATTTCACACTCTGGTAAGCAGTGACAGGACAGGGTCAGGCAGCAGGGTGTACTGGTTGTGGCTGAGGGCTGTCTGCAATCTCGGAGTTGTGTGACCCAGAATAAATGGTTTGCCCACTCTGTGCCTCTGTGTCTCTGTAGGCAATTCAGAGTGCATGGGATCTGGGGTGGACACAGCTGGTGATGGCTGTCATTGGGGGTGGGGATGATCAATCAAAGAGCAGTTTGGGGACTAAGTTGGGGGACAGTCAGGACAGAACTGGGGTCTGGGGGTTATGGGCCATCCTGATATGGCAGTCTGGAGGAGGAAGCTCCTCTTGGGGAAATGTGAGTTCATTTTAGGGCATGAAGAGCCGGAGGTATCAAGGAGAGGGGAGAACTGGAGCTGTGGATGGGTGGAGAGAATGAAAAAGAGGCGTCCCCTCCTACGGTGGGGATTGGGAA